AAAGAAGGAAAACATATTAACAAACATCCATTTACAAAACAGCAGAAGAACAACACAAACAATACAGAGCTACAGACAAAGTTGTAGGAAATTAATAACGACTGTTGTATTATTTATGGATATCTTCAAAGTAATTTCTCAGGAAAACAAATGGAGACATGCAAGATTGATCAAATAAGTAATAATTAACTGTTCCTTTCAGTAAAGCAATAGAAGACAGTAGCACAACTATGTTAGCTATCCTGTATGTACATACATACATAATTTCCCCTTCTTTCCCTTCTCTTTTCCCACACCCCACTTGTCCTTTAATTTTGAGCATTTTCCTCTCATTTCACAGTGTGTATCATACCTCCTAATTCTTATTCACTCTTTCAGGTTCTTACACTAGTGAGACAATGTGTTGCTTACACATGCATGTCTGATTTATTTCACTTATGAGTATGGTCTCTAGTTGTGACTATTTACATATAAAAGCCTTGAGTCTATCTTTCTTTATAGCTGCGTAATATTTCATTATATAAAAGAAGCACAATTATTTTATCCAATAGTCAGTGGATGGACATTTGTGTTGCTTCCACAATTTAGCAATTACAAATTGTGCTGCTATGAACATGGGTGCACATATTATACAAATATATTTAAAATCATCCTACAATTCTATAGTTTCACACATAATTTAATGTTAATTTCACTGTAAAACATTGCCTATTAGATTATTCATGTGTTTCCCATTTTGTCCTTAGTTCTTAATATAACCATTTCATTTCATAATTACATGACTGTAACTTATAAAACAAACAAGCATTCCTTTGATAGAAGGAGGTAAGGAAGTTAGGCTCAGATAGATATATAGATAATAGATATAGATATAATTATCAAACCTGGAAAGCCATTTACAATTTGAAAATCATGAAAGTCATGAATCTCTAATATATGTAAATTTTATATCTTTCCTATCACTTGCAGTTCAATAAGACATATCCTTTCCAGAAAATTAACATAATCAAGAACTCTTCCAAACACTGTAAAATTTGAATCAAATTTTATTATGATTTTGTTGGAAAAAGTTAAGTGTGGTTTTCTACACTCTGGTTTTCCAAAGACTATAAGTAGGTATCATTTTTCTTAAGGTTGAATTTTGCCTCATAGGCAGAAATTAGTTGTAGCTTCCAGATTAGTCATCCATTTCAGGGTAGTGGAGAATGTAGCTCCAGGTTGGCCATAGATTTAATTGATCCTTGGGAGGTAGTTTGGTTAATGATATCTTTACTTTTCTTATGGTGAGGGGCCAAAAATGTCTGCAACATTCCTAAAATCAAGAAATAGCCTAAAATTGATATAGGTCATACTGTTCTCTCAAAGAAAAATGTCAAACTAGATTTAGCTAAAAGAATAATTTCTCTCTGAAAAAGAGGTTTGCTAAAACTGTGAAATGGGATTCTGAAGGAAATAAATCTATTAAGCCCCTTTTGGTCTACAGAAATGAAATAGCTCAAGCAGAGTAAATGTACAACAAGATTCTAGGTTGAAAACATTTCCTTCAAACTTCATTCCTCCAGGTCTGACAGGCGGTAAGGGGAATAATGTCATGCTGACATGTTCCCATTACCAGTTACCTTGAGTATATGAAGAAAATTAAATTTATCAACAAGAGAAATGGAAATAGGATGCAACATGACCTCACTGAGATCTTCAAGAACTAGATAAGACAGTTTCTTCTAAATGTGGGTTTTCTCATCCTGAAAATGTCTGTTAAAATTTGAGATGAACATGAGCAAGGATATGTAACTTGAGAAGTTTCCTCTAAGATCCCATTATATTCCTAGTTCAGATCCAGTTATGTCATTGTGTGATATGATACCCTAGAAAATAAAATATTATCTATGCCAGAGAATAAATTTCTTTTTCCTCTGTTGCAAGAGACCACTCATAATTTACAGCATATTTGTTTGTTTTTCTTTTTGTTTGTGTTTTGTTTTTGAATGGAGGGGTGGAAAATTTCATCATTTAAATAAGTAGTATTAAATAATATGTATAAAACTCATGCTGCATATGTACTGAGGCAGAGAATACTCTTTAGTACATAACCAAATTAAGTAAATGCTAAATAAAAAATATAGTTTGGAAGAATTAATGCACCTAAGAAAAACCCATATATGCTTCCTGAGGAAAATGGAACCACATCAGTTTATTAAATTGTCCTGATGTACTTGCCAGACTGGTGGCAGATGGGGTGTATTAAATGATAAGGTAGTCCTCTGCCATGACCATTACAGAATTGGAGTGCTAAAATATCATCATAACACAATCAGATACAAGCACAGATGAATTCATTAATGAAATCAGAGTGATTGGAAAAGTATTCCTAGTGAGAATTATATCAAACACAGCAAACTGACCAGCACATTTTAGAGGTTTAATAAATACTGTTTACCTAATTGGCCTCCCTATATATTGTTATTCAGAAGTTCATTACATAATACATAAGCTATTCAATTAATAGTGTTGTAGATTCTACAGAATACTTTCCAGTATGTCGTTTTCCAACTCCTGTTCCACACCTATGTTTCTGCACTGTTTTCTTTTCCTGCCTTGAAAACTGCCTTAAATTGAACCTTACTGTATGGAAATTAGTAATTACTTTCATATTGTCTTTTCACAGAGAGTGGATATTACAAGAACTGATGGAAATACAAATGTAACTAGATATAATTAAATCAATTTATTCCAGTTATGCTGCAAAGCAGCCATTTCCACCAGCACATCAGTTAGAAAATATTTTGGGATTTCCTGAAAACTGAAGGATTCGCCACCATATCATGACACAACTATGCCACCCAGGACTGGGATAATCTGTCCATAATGCTCCTGACTTCATGAAACACCTGCATAGGAAACAGTTATTGAATACCACCCAGACTGTTAATTAGAATCTGGTACAAATGAACATGGCAAATTCATTTATTAGATCTACTCACTACTACAAGGGTTAACCACATAGACACTGCATTCGGGGAAGCCCATAAAAGATCTGATGACTTTAGAAGAGTATTTGGAAATCATGCAGAAGAATTTTTCTTATTTCACCTTCAAATGTTATTGAATCAGATGACATTATACCTGGATATGACCTTTTAGGTTTTTTTTTATATTAGTCCACATTGTAGACCTTTTTTGCATAGCAGGTTTTAAGTCGCATAAGCAATTTACATGTGTTACCCATCCTATTCCTGGGGTGAGAACCTAAGCACTTTTTTTTATATCTTCCTCTCTCATGCAGATTTTGGAAGAGATAAAGGTGTGCCAAAGTAATGGGCTTCCAGAGGATAGATGGACCTAATATATCATTTACAAATACACATAATAAAATTTTCTTGTCATCAATTTTAGTCTTGACATTGAATTCAGCCAAATGCACTTAATTCCCTTTATTTAGGCTCCATTTTTAATATTTGCATAGCCCTGCCCAGGAGCCCACTGATGTAGCCACACTTTATAATGACCTCAGAGTCCTGACCTCAAGTACATGTACAACTGAGGGCAGGGTGCATAAAATAAATACCGACACAAGAAAGATGGGTAACCACACCACAGTGAGCACATTCCTTCTGTGGGGATTTTCCAGTTTCCCAGAACTTCAGACTCTTCTCTTTGTGGTGGTTTTCTCTTCCCATGTGGCAATCCTACTCGCAAATGTGTCCATCATGGTGGCCATCAAGCTCAGTCACAACCTTCACACCCCCATGTACTTTTTCCTCTTTGGTCTGTCCTTTTCAGAAACCTGTACCACTATGGTGATCATCCCCCGAATGTTAGTGGACTTGCTTTCACAGAGCAAGACCATTTCTCTTCCTGAGTGTGCCACACAGATGTTTTTCTTCTTTGGTTTAGGAGCTAATAACTGCTTCATCTTGGCCGCCATGTCCTATGACCGTTACACTGCCATCCACAACCCACTGCGTTATCCTACGCTGATGACAAGGAAGGTCTGCTTTCAGCTCATGATGGCCTCTGTTGTGGTTGGATTCCTGGTTTCCCTGTGCATTATCATCATAGTATTCAATTTGTCCTTTTGTGACTCCAACACCGTTCGACATTTTTTTTGTGATATTGCACCTGTAGTCTCCCTTGCTTGTAATTATACATTTTTCCAGAAAATGGTTCTGCTTGCATTCACTGCTTTTGTATTAGTGGGCAGCTTTATTTTAATAATGATTTCCTATGTCTTCATTGTGTCCATAGTTGTGAAGATGCCTTCTGCAAAAGGGAGGTATAAGGCCTTCTCCACCTGCTCCTCTCACTTCACTGTGGTCTCCATACACTATGGATTTGCTTGCTTTGTCTATTTGAGGCCCCAGAACAGTGACAGTGATTCATTCAGTGAAGATACACTGATGGCTGTGACATACACAGTGCTGACACCTCTGCTTAACCCCATTGTTTATAGTCTCAGGAACAAAGAAATGCAGGTGGCCCTGAGGAAAGCGCTAGGCAGTATAACTGAGTTTTTTCCTCAAATGGTAAACAAAAGAGCCCAGAATATTTAATGTATGAAAAAGTAGTGTGCTTCCAATAAAAGTCTTTACTTAGTATTTAAAGCAACTAAAATGTTGTCTAATTGCCTGATGTGTCCTAGTCTTCCTATTTTCCTAACACAAAACAGAATGGAAATTTTAAATGTTTTTACACAATTATATGTATATAAACATGTATAAAGAAACACATAAGTACAAATGTGGTAACTATATCAAACCATATATTAGAGCATCATATTTTCATAATATTTGTTGCCCTTGTTGAAGGAAGAAATTCATACAAAAGCTGACAGAGTGAAAGCATGCATAAGAGTGAAAGGGAGAGGGAGAGTGAAGAAAAGAGAGAAAGGAGAGGGAGAGAAAGGGATGTAGAGTGGAAGATCTGTATAATCAGGGAAAAAAATTACAGTTGAAATGAGGGCATAAACACAATACCAAGAAACATCTGAGAATTTTAAGAAAAGAATTTTTTCCAACTCTACTCAAACAAATATGGAAATAAGATTGAAATCAATATAGTTCTTGGAAAAAATGAACTGGTAAAACTGACCTCAAAATAAATATACATCTTATCACACCAGATTCTATGGAAATTATCTTAAAACTCTCAAAAAATCTATTCTTTCTATTACAAAACAAAGGATTAGACTAGATGATTTCATAATTAACTTCAGTTAACTATGTTTAGTTTCAGCTTATGTTTATCAATTCTCAAAACATTATTGTGATACTACTTAAATTGAGTTACAGCATGGATAATTAGAAATATTAAACCCACTGGTGCTGTATATAACTCTAGTCTGTTTGAATACATAGTGGTGAGGTTTTGAAGTGGATTATGGAAGAAATTGGATCCTGTGAGGAAGTCTAAATATTTTGAGGATCCATTGTTTAATGGTTCTACACACAGTGAGTGATGCTACCAATTCTGAGGTAGACCCAACGGACTGAGTCTGGAAAAAGGAGCAAAAGTTTTGCGACAAAGTTTTAATAAGTGGAAAAAAAAAGAAAAAGAGGGCTGGGGATATAGCTCAGAGGCACAAGCACCTGCCTGGCAAGGGCAAGGTCGTGAGTTCGATTCCCAGTATAAAAAAAAGAAAAGAATATGGCCAGTCAGTAAAGGACTCTGAGGGCAAAGGTACACAGTTTCATAGCTGAGTAATACTGGTATCAGTAAAGGATATGTTTGGTCCTGAAGATGGTAAATAAATAATTTAGAAACGTGGCAAAGAGCTAAGAGAATGTCAACATTGTGCGCTGGTTCCAGTGGAATACCAAAGTGGGCAGCTTCTGTTTAACAGAGCTGAGAAGCTGATACGCTGAGTAAACCCGGTCAATTGAGATAAAGGGATGGAGAATGCACTCTGTGAAAAGTGGATGTGTGGAGGAGAGAGGTGATTACAGAATTAAAGGAACACATCTTGGATAAAAAAAAAAAAAAAAAAAAAGCAAAGAAGGTAGAATCCAAAGAGATGAAACATCGTGTCTCCCTGGATTGAAGGAGGTAAGTAGAATTCCTGAGGGTCCTGAAATAGTTTACTAGTCATGTCAGAGCCTACGGGGCAGTCAGATCCCATTTTTTGTCAATACTGAATTGTAATATGGCTACGGATTTTCTGACCACACATTTTACACACTCAAATGCCACTAGCTAAGTTAAAGTTTTGATTTCTGTATACAGTATTTGAACTATTTTGCTTAATTATTTTAATGCTTGATTTTAAAGTTTAAATTTGTTTGTGTTTTAACTGCCACAAGATCTAGTTCTCAATATTCTAATAGGCAGAACCATGGGGAAATGAGTCTCTTGGTAACACTCTAGTATTCTGTATTTATTTTATATATAAACACAGTTCATACTGATTTGGAAAGAAAATATCAGTTATGTAATTAAAATATATTTGGCACTGAAATAAAAGTTAAATTTATTATGTCATTTTTGTACAAATTTTCAGTAAGCTTTGGAAACTTGTGTGTTTTAAAATTAACTGGAAAAGTTGAACAGAATGTAAGTGTAGCCAACCACTCTTTACAATTTTTACCCCAAACTTTCAGAATGTTAGAACTATTATTCTATTCTCTACCATCTCCAAAATACTTAAATCCAAAATTTACCTTGAAGAAAACTGTAAATTTTATTTCTATCCATTTCAAGAGAACACATGCTCTCCAAGGGCAAGGGAAGAAATTACTGGGGTATAGTGAGGTCAGCTGGCTTTGGAGATGGAAGACTTTCATAGAGACTTCCCTAAAGAGTAACTGAAATGGAAAAATTCTCTTGACTTTCTAGGAAGAATATATATATGCAGATATTAGAGTCTATCAATGACTACTGTTATATATTTTCATGCCCAAAATCAGATTTTGTATTTTCCTATGGATGACATAATGGTCGCAATTCATATCTTCACTGACATTGTTGCTGTCTTCCTTCAGCTCTTTCCTGTACTTAAAGTCTCCTTTCAGGAAAGACTGTTTACATGTCCACATCCTCACTGCACTCTGATGTCTTAGAGTCATAAAATAGGAAACCAGGTTGGGCTACAAAGAAGTGGAAGGAAGCAAGAAAAGATGGGTAGAGGAAAGGAGGAAGCGAAGAGGGAAAGAAGCAATAAGGAAAGGAGTCAAGGAAGGAGAGAAGGTAAATATGAGAATGAAGACTCATGAACAGAAATCGTGTTTTCTTCCAAGTTCTATGGTTTTAAATCTTACATTTAGAACTTTCCCCATTTTGAGTTAATTTACATATATGGTGAGAAATAAGGGTGCAAGTTTATTCTTTTGGATGTGAATATGCAATTGACCCAGTACATTTGTTCTAGGGTCTTAACAAATGTCAGAACCATAGACATATGCATTAAATTACTGACCCACAGTTCTACCTCACTGGTTTCCATTTCTATGCATGGACCAAGACATACTTGAACTATGGCTCCGCAGAAAGTTTTGAAATTAAGAATTAAAAGTCCTTAAAGATTAAGCTTCTTTTACAATTACAAGACATTTTTAATATTCTGGATTTCTTGCAATTCCTTATAAATTTTAAAGCAACTGATCAGCTTTTATGAGGAAAACAACTAGAATACTGAGAAGTATTGTGTTACATATTGATTAATTTGAGATATGTTGTCATTTTACAATATTAAGTCTTCTAATCCATGTTCGGCAGGTATTTTTCCATTTATTTAACTATTCTTTCATTTTTAAAGGTATTTTATCATTTTCAATGTGTACTTTTTGGGGTACTTACGTTAAATTTATTCCTAGGTACTTTATTTTTTACTTTATAATGTATTTCCTTAATTTCATGCTTACATTTTTCATTGCCAGTATATTAAATTATATTTCATATTATATTATCTCATGCTGTATTAAACATATCTTGCAAACTATTGCTTTCCTAATTTCTTTCTTGGTAGTTTCCCTACTGGTATATAGAATATTTATAGAATTTTACGTGTTGACAGTCTATCTTGCCACCTTACTGTACCTAAAACTCTTCTACTGAAATGTTTAAGATTTCCTAAGTGAAGAATAAAATGATATGGGAATAATCATAGTTTAACTTCTTTCTTTCCCATTAATATTTAATTTCTTTTTTTTTGCTTTATT